GAGATTCTTAATTCGAATACTGGCTCTAGTCATTATTCTGCCCAAATTATTTTTTAAACACAAAAATATATCAATCAGTTGAATCGATTTGTTATGAGAGTTCCTATTTCTTCCTTTTCCATAATTCAAACGAGGCGAGACAATGCTAACTCGATTCTAGTCTAATCGCCGCATTATATCAGCCCATTTATTTAAATTTCTGGTTGGTCTGCTTAAAAAAATGCTTTATATATTAACTTTTATAAGTCAATATTGCTTTATACACTATGCTCGGGGATAATTAATACATGTAGCGTTATCTATCAGTGCCACTTAAATCGTACGTTAGTGTTCATTTATAGGTGTATTTTATTCAGATAGATATTCGACCTTATTTATTCATTATCTGTATTGAATTCCACTGCATTTTAGGCATTAATTTAATTGGTAAATATAAGTGGGAATTTACGCTATTTCTCATACTTTTCTTATATAGAATTTTGTTTTCTAAGTAAATCCTAAACCTGTTTTCTTTTAATTTCATCCAGCCAAGCGTCGCAAAAATGAGCTGGATAGTTTAAAGGCTTGGACTGTCAAGTATCCGGGCAACGCGGAAGCAGCTGCTGCAGCGGCAGGGGCTGCCGGAGAAAAGCTGGATGAGAGGACCTGGGACGATGCTATTGGTTCATACAGTCAGGCGCTTGGTGAGCAGGCCAAGCGACGAAAGCGTATCGCCCGTTTGTCGGGAAATCAGGATCCTGCCTTCGTCTTTGAGAACGATGAGGATTATCCTAAGTAATTATTTACTTCTATATCATTGCTCTTAGCATAAAGACTAAATTTCTTGGAATCATTTGATATGACAGCTACTTTCTACTGACTTATTAAGTCTATCTTTCGCAGAGTTTTACTTTGCTAAATATCCTATAGTTAGGTTACTATTGGACTAAACTTTAGTTTATCCTCATATGGCCATAGCCATCACCTTTGGATATAAACTTTCTATATATATGCTTACTAAAGTTCGTTTGTTATAATTATGCTAACTTTAGCATAATCAATAAAGTTTATTTTTCTTCAATACTACTATAATTTTAATAATATTTAAAGATCTTATTTTTAGGCCTCTTTATTGATGCTTTCTGACGGAAAGTATTTATAAGCAACAATGCTGTTTCTGACCAATTTAAGGTTCAGCTATCAACTGAAACACGAGAATATTTTAAAGTAACTAAAGTTTCTCGTAAAATTCCTTATTCTGGCCATTTACAACATAGAGACTCTACAAAGTTCACTTTGTCTAAAAACCATCAACCTGTGACTATCTTAGTTCTCTGCTATACTCACATTCATACTTAGCTTTTTCCCGCCGTATGCTTCTGGCTAGAGTAAATAATAAATACGAATTATTCTGCAGAACTTGTTTGGCCTCATTTTGGCAACTTTGTCATATTGTCAGGGAAAACTAGATGAAGAGGCCTTTTTCGGAGCCCATAGTAGCCATGATAATTTGAGGTGTCGGACCGTGAGCTTGGTATATTCCCAGATGCTTAGTCCCCTCTACCCTCCATTTTTTGGGAGTGCTGATACAATTCGGCCATTTTAATCCTCAATCCTCTATCCAGGTCCTTCCATATTATTCCTTTAGCCTCGTTCAGTGACTTCACTCGATCACTGCCACTACATTTATGCTATTCGAGGGGCTGTTCTACACTGCTTCAAACCTTAGCACG